GGCGAGCGGATGGAGCGATCTGTCTGGTGCGTCCCTACTCCCCTAGTGGGGAGAGAGGGTGCGTGTCGGAGTCATGATTCGGAGCTTTCCGCTTGTTGAACGGCGGCAGCTTCTACTAGCGCCCGGAGGTTCCGATAGACCGCCCGCTCCTGGGGGTCGACAGGCTCGGGAACGCCACGCAGAAGCATTGCCGCAGCGACGATGTTCTGGCTAGCCCAAGCGAACTGTGGGGGTTGTTCCCCTCGTTCATGATGTCGCGCTGGACCTGGCGGGTGTGACCCCGGGCGCCGCCTGTCGGGTCATGCGCATGGGGTGCAATGTGCTGCACCAAGCGCGCCGGCGCAGGCGACGACTGGTTTTGCCACCGTTGTCATAGCTCCTCGGCGTGCCCTTATGCGAGCGTGAGGGCCCCCACATGCGGGTCCGGAGGGGTGTGAGTTTGTGCAGACTCCGCAACTACCGGTGGCTATCCCGGAGCGTCCGCCTTAGCGCACTCCCAGGATGGATGGTGGCTAGGTGCCATGTCGTCGACATTGGAGCCGTCGCTCTCGACCTCGTCATCCAAGAGTTCGTGAAAAGTGGTGGGAGCATAGCTCGCCATTCCCACGAATTCAGATATGAGAGGGGGTGGCGCCAGCGTCCCTCGGAGCCCCCGAGCACCCACGCTCGCGGGGGACACGAGGCTGTAGGGGAACTGGTCATATGGTGTTTGCGATGCGAACAAAATGGTCCCTCTGGATAACCGGCGGGAGATAGTAAATAGAAAGTAAATGACAGTATGTACATTACTCACAGCGGGGTTTGAGCAGAGAGTTTGCTCGGAATGAAGCGCAAATGCCTCGTCGTTGAAGTCGTCGTGCGTCCTGGAGCCGATGGAGGCCACCCCTCCGACAGGCGTCGAACGAGTGCCTCCTCGCGGAGGTGTAGTATGCCGAGCCGGTCGGCGACGAAGTCCAGGCTTCCAAAGAGGAAGGCCTAGGACTGCTCGAAGACGGGTGGAACCCACATCCCAATAGGTGGGAGTGCGGGAAACTCGAGTGAGCCAAAGCGAGTCATATCGCTTGAGCCTGCCATGGCGAAGGTGGCAGAAAAGTGGGCCATCCGATGACCAAAAAGTGTTGAACGTACAGCGTCTTCCCCACGGACGGCGCCAACTATCAGTGCAGAAAGTGACCAACACGTAAATATTTATAGTTTTGTCGTACGTTGTGATCGGAGGTGGCCTAGCACTCAATGACATAGGGTTTATACTGGTTCAGGCAACGTGCCCTACGTCCAGTTTGGGTCGGTTGGTGACTTTATTCCTGAGCCCAGGTGCTCGAAGTTTGCAGTGGGGTTACAAACGAGAAGGAGAAAGATGGGGTGTACGAGAGGCCCGGTCGGGTCCGACCGAAAGGGCCGAGGGCGACCAGAACTCCGCTATGAGCTAGGTGTTCAAGCGTGTGCTTGAGGGGTTGTGAGCTATCGATCTAGTGAATCTCAACTTGAAGGAAGTCGACCTTTTTTGTTGGAGGGAGCGCATCCCCTTTTATAGATAAAGGGGATGGCTTTATAAGTGAGAGGGAGAGAGAGTACGGATGTTTTTAAGCCTTGTTGCTCTCGCCGATGAGGGTAGCAATGATGGTAGGTGCCCACAATACTGTTGACGTCACTATAGAATGTTAGGTGCACATGGGAGGTTGCATTGGCTTCTTCAGGAAGGGTGGATGTCGGTACCTGCAAAATACTATTGGTATATGAGGAACCCTACCACGTGTACCAGGTATGGTGAATCCTGGTGCCCACTATCGATACCCAGAGGCATGTTGGGGGCTTTTCACCGTATGGGAGCCCAACGGCGCCTACAATATTGTAGACACAAATGTCGGCGCCTACAATACTGTTTGTGTCATGGCGGTTGTGGAGCACTGTTTCCGCAGGCGTACATGGTATGGTACTGGTATCGTGGTTTGACTTTGTGCACTGCCTTCTCCGTTCGCCCCTGGTCCCTTCCGAGTGGGCGTCTCCGGTCGGATGGCCCTAGTCGGCCCTGGCCGCGCCAGTCGGAGAAGAGCGGCAAGCAGGCTTCCTACGGGCCCCCGGTCGGAGTCACGGGGTCGGAGTAGGAAGCAGTGTTTTCGGCCAGGCCTTCCGATCGGAGAGACCGCCCGGAGGCAGCTGGTGCCCGAAGCGAGCGCTCCGGTCAGAGAGGTGGGCCGAAGAAGTTGTCCAGCGGGCGCTCGTCCTTTTGGGTAGACCTTCTGGTCGGCAACCAGACTGTCCTTCCGGCCCGTTGTTTTTTAGACTCTTGGGCCGGCCCATGACTTACATGCTGTTTTCTCGGACCGAGTCCTGGCGTGGAAGCGGGTCCCTGAGGGACCCCGGATTTATGAACCCGACAGTTCTAGTCATAGAAACTCATGTAGCTAAGAATAGATACTAGAGTTTAGTTGCATAGAAATTTGATGACCTGGGCATAGAAATTTCAAGTTCCTCCTCTTTCTCTCGAATTTGAAATTTTAGTTTGACTGGTTCGTGTGACTTAGTTTATCATGATTCTGATCATAGAAATTCATGCGTTAGGGTATAAGAACTAAAATTTGGTGACATAGAAATACGTTGGTGCGATCCTAGAATAAATTGAGATATTATCTTACTCTGAGAAATTTAAGATTTGAATGGTAGAAATTAGCAAAGTCAGGAGAACTTTTACCGTTTTCTCTATCTAACAAGAATGTGCTACGCCAACTCTGAATTTTGAAACATACCATCCTAAGGCCATGGCCCATATGGGCAGTAAAGTAAAGGCTTGTCCATGGGCCGTGCTCCTTTTCTCTGATCTGGTGGACCGTGACGTTTGTAGCTCTCATGCCAGAGGATATTAAAATGCTTTCCAGCAAGGACAAAAGAAGGGTGACAGCAACGGGAACTATGCAGTTTCGAGATATACGAGATCTTATCCATGAACACCATTTCTATATGCTCTGATATCCATCTTATTTCTCGCTATTGTATAACTTGGCTGCACATGAGTTGGCTGGATTAGCTTTGAGTTGGGACTTGGGACTTGTGTCAGTCGTTTGTTTGGGTTGGACCCTGCCCACTAATCTTGTATCTGAGTTAGTGGCTCGCAATTTGGAGAAATCCACACACATTATTGGTAGCTCGCAATTTGGCGAAACACTTAAAACATGCGCTTAAAACATGTGTGTATAGCCATAGCAATATATTTAAAACCATATCTACTTTTGCAACATCAAATCAAACATTTGCAACATACACCTGAAACAGATGAAACAATTAAAACATTCGTGTATAGCCATTGCAACATGTGCAACACGCCAAGATTTACTTTTAAAATATCCGGATGAAATATTTGTAACATGCGCCTGACACACCAGAAACACTTGAAACATAGGCTTGCAACATGCACATTTTGTCATTGTAACATATGCCACATCCAGATAAAACGCTTGAAACATAAGTCTGAAACGACTAAAATACTTGAAACACGACATTCGTCGTGCGGCCACGGCCTACCTAGCAGGGAACTACGATAGATCGCCAATTAGCACAGGGAGCGCATGGAGGCCACCCTAGCGAAGCCGCCGGAGTGGCAACGGCGTGGGCCAGCGGAGCACGGAGGCCAAGGAGGGCCGCCGCCCACAGGGGCCCACGAGGAGTGCCATCTCCTAGGCCGCCCCTAACGCCGTGGCTGCTCTAGCACCCTCGCCACCGCCGACGGCACGTACCCCATCGGTGCCGACTGGCGGGGCAGCGACGAGGTGGGGGACGGACGTGGCTGTGCGTGTGTGGGTGGGGGTGGAGATGAAGCGCATGGCGCGACGCAGGACGGAGCACAGCGTGGGAATGGGGAGCCGAGCGTCGCGGGCGGGAGCCGAGCGTCGCGGGCGGGAGCCGAGCGTCGCGGGCGGGAGCGAGCGGCGGGGAAAGGTGGCAGCAACAAGGCAAAGTGCGGGCATGGCGACGAGACTGGGTGCTGCCGCGGCCGGGTTCGAGAGGAAAGTGAGCAAAGATTTTTATTTTTTATTTTTTTAGCAACGTGAGCGACCGTGCCATTGATATGAGCCGTTCGGGCGGGCAAGGCCCGCCAACGTAGGCGTCCGGACGATCGGTACCGAATAATTATGTGAGTTTTAATGATATATAGATCTTTATATATTTCTGAAGTTAGTATATTTGTGCCGAGGAAGTACTAAAGGTGGCTATATGATTTTCACCTCCCAATTGGACAATCCATATACATTGAAATGCTGCAAAGCTTAAATGCTCACATAAACTCGAGGTACTTTTGACTTTAGCTTCCAACGCGCCAGGAAAAAAGGTTATTCGTAAATCGTAATACATTTTAATTAATAACAGCAAACTCAGCTCCATTTCGCACCAAGAGATAAGTAATGAACTACTCTGTCTCCCGAACGATCTACAGGCCCTCTCTGAATTCTGAAATAGACCGTCCTAAGCCCATGGGCTGCAAAGTAAGTACTCCGATCGGGTGGGCTGAGACTAAGGGGAGTGGAAGTTAGAAAGGCCTTGCAGAAAGGACAAAAAGAAAGGCCTTGCAAACGGCCCATCTTATTGGTTCATACGCTGGTGGCGACGGGACATAAGAAACTCCAGAGGCTTTCAGAGTAACAATCGATACATCATCAAGGCCAACGGTTTATAATAATAATTATTAGCACGCATTTATCTTAGCTTTTCTTCGGAAGAAACAAGGTACTCGAGCTTTTATTCTCACGTACATCTCAACAGCATTTATTCATAGTACTTAGCACACACTTGCACTCAACGATCGTCATGGAACAGTCTTCAGCTCAGATCCAGTGGCGGAGTTAGAGAAAATACAAGGAGGGTGCGATTGTCTTGTGGGCACGTAGACTTTTATTTTAAAGGTACGAATATGGTGAAAATTTAGCTATAATCATTATTTTTCTGTTTTTGCGTAGATGCGGCTGCACCCACGGATGACTATATACATCCGCCCATGGCTCGATCCATCAGTAGGAGTGAGCCTTCTCACTAGGAAGGAGGATGAGGCTGGCATTTTTTGCCTGAAAAATCAACATCATATCTTTCAGAGAACAATTCTCATCTGTTGTTAGCTAACAAATTAATTCCACGAGCAAGTTAACTATGTTTCGGATCAATGTGGCGAAAGTGAGGAAACTGACCTCGGCTGGCATTGGTTCGCCCTGCAGGAATTGCTGGAACAGGAAGAGCGCCTGCTCTGGGCGGTGCAGTGGAACCTCGTGCCCAGCGCCGCGGACAGTGACGAAGGTCAGCCCGTCGTACTCCATGCTCCAGCCGCCAACCTGAATGTCATCATGACATCATAGTCATATACTCCGTAGCAAGTATATATATAGTGGCCATGGAGCACAAGGAGACTCACTGTATCTATGAGAAATAACTCAGGATTCAGAGACACTGACCTCAGTTGGGACAATGTACCAGGGGTACCAGCTACTTTTTACAGGAAGGCCCAGGGCAGCAAGAGAGTGCCTGGTCGCGCTCAGCGGCACTGCAGTATCCGTGTCACCACTGCAAATGAAAAGACATGCATGCATTTTAGTTTGTTGCAGAGAAATTGGCAAGAAACTCTCTGAAGAAACGCATAGTAGGTGAGGTATACAGGCAGCTTGTTCATATTACCTGAAGACCCACACCTTGAGGCCAGCTCCAATGAGCTCCTTGTAGATGGGTAGCATGGAAACGATGGGATCGTATGTCGTCCAGTTATCATATATGTGCATGCTGCAAGATATAAAGAATATATATGAGTTTAGCTTGCCCAGGATAATTAATCCAGTACATAAATACCCCAGTATACATATATGTTAACAGAAGGAAATGAAGTCATATGAAAAGATGGGTCAACTGAACTGGCTACTAGAAATCAGTGTTGTATCGAATAATTTCTCCTCCTTAATACAAAGATGCGCAAACCTTTTGCATAATCAAGAAAAAAAAGAATCATAAGTTTGGAACAATAGTACAATACAATACATACTTGCATAATTGCCATGGGTAGTCTATGAAGCCGCTGGTGTTGGCATGCATGGCCTTCTGCACGTCGGGGAGGTTCAAGTAGCTGGTCGAGTAGAAGGCGGTGCACGGATCGTATGACGGCAGCTTGGTCAATGGCTGAACGTGTTCCAAAATCATGCATGGTGAGACGTGAGAAAGACACCTAGCTAGACAGCCTAGAACAGATGATGGCCGGAGATGACGAAGACGATCGAATTACGGCAACTTACGCGGCGGCTCCTCTCGAATATGCGTGCGTATGGGTTCCCCTTCTCGCACGGCGGCGTGTAGATGCTGTAGCCGTCGATGTTGCCTTGCTCCTTGGTGGCCACGTCCCAGACCTTCTGGCACTCCGGCGAGGCGTGGATCAGGGAGGTCCCTGGGCAGACCTTCAGCCCGTTTGCTAGGGTCTCGTCGGAGATGAGGCCGTGGTGCCACCAGTACTCGAACATGCCGACCATGTCAGTGCTGTCGTCGGTCAGGCCGTTCCCGACCTGGAATTGGAATGAATTGAACCAAATTATTAGATGTGAATAATTCTTTCAAAAATTGTAGTTATACATGTTGTACTTCCATGTGTTTGTCCATTCATTGATTCATTCGGCCCATCAGGTTCTTATGAAATGAAATCCTTTATTTGTGTCACAAATTGTGTGAATTCAGTTTTTTGACCATGCGCCGCATGTCGGTCTATACCATGAAACCTTTGAAGTTAATGATAGGCTTGTCTACGCCGATGTTTCTCCTGTAGACAAGCTGGGAGAGCTGAGGAACATAGTGACCTGCAGATCAAAACACTTCACAAATGAATTCACAACAAATCTCCCACATTCAACAACAAAAATACTACGGCACTACGCACTGACCTCCATAGCTCTCGCCGGCAATGTAGAAATCGCGGTACTTGTACTTGGGGAACCTCTCGAACCATTTCACCAGGAAAGTGTACGCATCATGGGCTGCAAATAACAAAGATTCCTAAATGAAGTTTCAGACTGAAGATGGGTGATATTTGTCATATATATTCTTCATTCATGACCAACCCGTTCTGTTGTCGCCGACGATTAGGTCGAAGCTGGTGTTGCTGTAGGAGAACCCCACGCCGGCCGGCGACTCCAAAAACAGTACGTTCGCCGCTGCATGCCTTTTACATGTGAGTTTCACTGCACATCTCGACAGGTTTGCTTTGTGACCCAGTTCATACCTCTGTTCCACGCGTACTCGTTCAGCAGCAACCTCTCGCCGTCTTCGTGGACGCGGAACGCGCCGAGCTCCTCCAGCGCGCCGGAGCCGATGGAGGAGCAGCCCGGCCCGCCGTTGAGCCAGAGGAGGAGCGGCACGGTGTCCGGGTCCTCGACCGCCGTCTTGTCGGCCTCTTGCAACCAGTAGTAGAGCGCGCGGCCAGCTTGCTCGCTCGTCGACGGTGACGTAGCCCCCGTACATGTCGAACGCCACGTCGTTCGGCTGCCCTGGCAGGCCCAGAATCCGGTCGTCTTCACCCGAGGACCCTCGTGCCAGTGTCATCGGTAGCAGGAGGCCGCCGGCGGCTAGTGCCAGGAGCAGCGTTGTCGTCGTTGCGCCGCCGCGCCATGGAGAGTAGTACTGGCCGGAGGAGCTGCTCATGGCCATATTTGCTATTGCTCTCCTCGTCTCCGCGACTGACTATGCATAGATGAGAACCAATCAAGGTTCAGTTATATATAGGAGTATATAGAAGCGAGCAAGCAAGGCTTATTGTTTGATCGTTTGATTGATTGATTTAGGCACGTGTGCGGCATGCATAAATTGTAGGTCTACGATGGCCTATCAACTACTCCCTCCGTCCCGAAAAAAAATGCAATTATGTAAAACGTACCGATCAAACTAGTTTAACTTTAACTAAATTTATAGTAAATAATATTAACGTTTATGTCTCTAACTAAATTTATTATAAAATATATTCTATAACTAATCTAATGCATGGTACTTAATTTGTTTCATTACTATTAGTATATTTTTATATAATTTTAGTAAAAGTTTAACCTATTTGACTCCTCAAAATACGAGAATTGTATTCTTCAGTGGACGGAGGTTATAGGTAAAAATGCTTGTCATTTCCTATAGGCGCTCCATCATAGGGGCATAGGGCCGGGGGCTAGCATGAATATGACTGTAAGGACAACTACAGCCACATTTGGTAGTGCTTGAGGAGCAGCTCCGTGACCGCTCCCACATCGAATGGCTCCGCTCTAAAAAATGCATTGAGAGAAGTGTGAGTAGGAGTGGGAGCTTAAAAAAAAGGAGCTTTACCGTGCATCCATAGGTTCAACCCACGGTTGTGGTCCGATTTGCCCTATGGGTGCATCGACATAGGCAAGGCCGGCACAAGTCAAGCTAGCATGACGGTCTGGGAGTCATAGGATTTTTTTGTCCAATAATGGCCTGAATTTATACTGGTTTATGTATAGAGTACCCTATGTCCAACTGAGAATGCTTCTTTATATGTTTGTGTTTGGATTATAGGGGTGCTGATGATGTTTGTGGAGAGATTACATGTTGGGTATTGTGGATTGTCGATCAAGGCTCCCGTATTCCTCTTTATATAGTCCAGAGGATGAGGGTTGGAGTCCTCATAGACTCATAGATATGGTTTTCTAGTTTGTTACAGGGAAATCTAATTAGGTCCGGGTGAATTTTTATAGGTTACTTGGCTTCGAAGCATATCCGGTGGACCTTTACAAGTTATTACGAGTTACACGGCGGCAGCACATCTCGTGCATGGCCTGGGAGGCAGCCCCAAGTCGAGGACGCAGCCATGGTCAATCTCACGCCCCTCCTCAGTCCACTGTGTTATGTTCGTTGTTCATTGGTGCCTCTGCTTCCCCTCGGTTTTATGTAGGTTCATACATCCTTGTTCTTTTCGCCAATTTCTCCGTGGTGTTCATGCCTTGCTTCTCTAATGGCGAATATTGTACCTCTATTTCCATTTCTCATGGCGGGTCCCTCGTCGAAGAGATCGGGGACGGTGCTCCATGCCTAGTGGACATCGAGATCCGCCTCCTACAAGGTCGACTTCTCTTTGTCACCCCTCATCCTTTGCGCTCTACTTCGACTCTTGATTGATTTGTTCATGTGATGTTGTCGCGTGCAGAAAGGGAAGAAGCAGCGCTAGATGTGCACCTGTAGTCGTCTATGAAGCAAATTTGCTTTCAATTTTTAATTGATTGATTTATAGAGGCAAACGTTTTAATTGCTCGTGGTCTTTTTTTTTGCGTAATAACTGCTCATGGGCTGTAGAACCGCCTCTGAAAACTACATTTGCCTATTTCTAAAAACATTGTGTGTAATAGTGGCTCCTCCCTTGAATATGTGAGATCCTCCTCTGAATACCTGAGTGCAGATAACGATACGGGCGGTTGGAAAATATCGACCCTATTATGTCGCGCCTGGAGACGCTATCTGAAGAGGTGCTGGACAATGAACAGGGAGAAGAAGCGTTGGAACAAGAAGGCGTCTTCATATCTACGTTTACGTATTTATAATAGCTGTTTACATTTGTGTCGCTGTTTTGTGGACCCGAGTGGTCAGACTTGTAAGGGGAATAAAACACCCCGATGCTTTCTGTAAGAAGGATCGAACTCATATTCAGTAAAACTGAAACTCGCCAAGGCAGAGGGCTTGCCCTGCCGGCGACCTCGTTTCCGTATATCCGCTGCGTTCGTGCTCACGTCGGCGGTGATCCCTCGTCGGCGGCCAAGGGTGTGACAAGTGGTATCGGATTCGACTATCCTTGGCGTGGGTGCAGAGCTTCACCGCTCATCATCAGCGTCAATTATCGGCTCTTCGCTGGCTATCTCCGATCGGTTTCAGGTGACAGATCCTTCCGACCATCCATCAACCCATCCATCTAGCGCAGATCCACTATACCTCTCTTTCTCCCATACCATCGGGTTTCTGTTTTACAGCGTGTGTGTCGATCACAATCTGTAAAATCCAGTGGGCAGGCTCTGCTTGGGTCATGCCTCAGAGGTGTTCGACCAAAGTACCCAGAGGTCCCTCTTTTGGTTGATTGGGTCACCACTAGCCGTAAACAGCACCTTCCATCAAATCTATACACAATCCTAGTCAAGATCTGTCACCTTCTTCGGCTAATCATTCAAGTGGGGGACTACATCGACACCTTGGGTTCGGCGGCGTGAACTGTGGGAGCAGCATCTCTTCTGTTCCATCTGATTGGTGCGGTGGCGTTGGCGGGAGAGTGTCCTTGGGCTCGGGTTTCGAGGCGTGTCCTCGTGTAAAATTCCAAGGCTAAGCCTCACTCTCAGGCGGCGGTGTAGTGCTTGGCTATAGTTGGGGAGGAATCATCCAAACCAGTTGCTCGCGCACGGTCTTCTTGAATTGTGTTCACTGTGGCTCCAGTCAAGCCATCTAAGCATACATCTCTGCTGTTGGACGCCATGTCCAGGAAGTCTGACGAGGAGCAGAATTTCATGGAGAGGGTCATGGACCAGTTTGATCTGTTGGTCACACGAGTCAACGAGATTGGTGCCACCCAGACTCAGATGAAACAACAAATGGATATTCGAGCTGCTGCCATGGATGAGTACACCAGTGAACAACATCTTATTGCTCAGCAGGTGCGAGCCAATGGGGCAGCTGTAGCCCAACTGACATTGCAACAATTTGATCAAGCAGAGATGTACAAAGATGGGGAGTTCACATCTGTCACCTCAGAGGACAGTGACCATCAGGCTTTGGAGAATATCTTTGCTTCCAAGAAACCACCACCAGAGGTTGGTCATTCCAAACATCAGAAACCACCACCAAAGCAACCAAAGCACAAGGATGATAGAAATCCTAAATTACCCAACCACTCAATGCCTAAGATGCAATTCCCCAAATTTGATGGAACTGACCCAAAGATTTGGAAAGACAAATGTGAGAGTTATTTTGACCTCTATAAGTTGCCTGAAGGAATGTGGGTGACTGTTGCCCGTATCCATTTGGAAGGGAATGCAGCTAAATGGTATCAAGCTTATAAGCAGAATCATACCTTCAAGAACTGGAGCCATTTCTGCTCAGTGGTGGAAGAGGAGTTTGGGTCAGATGATTTTAGATCAGCTCTGAATGATCTTTTGGAGCTTAGGCAGCAAGGCCAAGTGGAAGAATACACCACACAGTTCCAGTCCCTGCAATATCAAGTCAGCATGCACAATTCTCAATATGATGATATATTCTATACTACCCAATACATGAGGGGTCTTAAGGAAGAGCTCAGGGGTACAGTAGAAGCCCAAATGCCTACAACAGTGCTCAAGGCATCAATCATAGCCAAGATTCAGCAAGGGGTACTTGAGAGAGCTAAGGCCAAGCAAACCAAACATCATTATCAACAAAGAACTTACCAGCCACTGAGACAAGATATCAAACCACACCCACAAGCTCCTTCTCTCTGGCATGATAGGCAACTCAGAGATTATAGGAAAGCAAATGGTCTTTGCTATAGCTATGGAGAAAAGTATGTTCCAGGAAATCTAGAAGTATGTACAAAAAGAAACAGGCCACAAGTCAATGCCTTAGTCCTCAATGACCTGGACAGGGAACTGTCAGATGAGGTCCTTAATGATTTGGCTGCAGAAGATGTACTACAGGAAAACTTTGGTAAATTGTATCTCAATGCTCTCTCCGGGACTGATAGTGTTGACTGTATCAAGCTGAAAGCAAGAGTGAAAGACAAGACCATGTTGATTCTTGTTGATAGTGGCAGCACCCACAGCTTTATAAGCTCCCATTTTGTTCAATTGGCTCAGTTGCCTGTGGTACCTATTCCTGCTAGACAAGTGAAGTTAGCAAATGGTCAGGTGATTATGACTGACAGCAAGGTTTGTAAGCTACCCTGGTTTTGCCAAGGTTCCACATTGTACACTGACATGATAGTATTGGATATGCACCCCTATGACGCCATTTTAGGGTTTGATTGGCTCACTGCTCATAGCCCAATGAATTGTGATTGGCAAACTAAGACACTAGAATTCTCTGAAGGTGATAGAACAGTGCATTTGCAGGGTTTGCAACAGTCACCCTTATCCCTAACTGCTATCTCAGCAACAAAGGTTTTCAATTCAGCAAAAGGCAATGATGTGTGGGCGTATGTTCTAGTGGATCACCACAAAGACACCCTCAGTCCTCCAAACATTATTTCTTCCACTGAGTCTGATCAACTCAAACTGCTACTTGCCAAATACCAAGATATTTTTACTGACCCTAAAGTTCTACCACCCCATAGGATACATGATCACACAATCCCTTTGTTGCCTACTGCCATACCTGTCAACTCTAAACCTTACCATTATTCTCCATTTCATAAGTCTGAAATAGAGAGACAGGTACAGGAACTGTTACAGGCGGGGCTGATTACTCATAGCAACAGTCCTTTTGCTTCCCCTGTTTTATTGGTCAGAAAGAAGGATGGTTCCTGGAGGCTATGTGTGGATTACAAGAAACTCAATGATCTCACCATCAAGAATCGTTTTCCAATGCCTGTGATTGAGGAAATCCTGGATGAATTATCAGGCTCCAAATATTTCACCAAGTTGGATTTGAGGGCTGGCT